TAATAATACATGCATTTTAGTCTTGAAGTATAACTATAAATTCTCAAATAATTTGCAACAAAAATGAACTGGTATTTGTTTTATGTGCCTAAATAAAACTTAATGTTTAGATATAGTGAAAATATAATACGTTTAAAGCAATGATATAATTACAGTCCTAGTTTAGATGCCACATTCTTTAAGCAATATTTCCAAAATAATCTAAAGGTGATTTCTCACTCCTCTGATATCTTACAGCACTGGGTTTATGTTAAACACTGCTTTATACTTTAGTAATCTGTATGCATATCTTCTCTTCTACCTGATTAAAAACTCCTTAACTGGCTAATTCACCTTTGGATCCACTATCAGTAAGTAGCATTCTGCTACAGATAGTTAAGTTAATATTCACTGAATGACAAAATCTGTTAAGATTTACATTCAAAAATGAATTTTATGCTTACCATAAGAATATAAGACTTTTACCCACACTTTATTAAGTTGTATTTTCCAAAATCTTGTAAAGATTTAAAATGCTTGGCCAGATGCAGTGGCTCATACCTGTAATTCTAGCACTTTGGGAAGCCGAGGCAGGAGGATCACTTGAGGCCAGGGGTTTGAGGTTGCAGTGAGCTATGATGATGCCACTGCACTCTAGCCCAAGCAACAGAGTGACCCTGACTCAAAAAATCCTTAAGAAACCTTTGAGCACTTTGAAAATATTGTTTAGTTACTAGTGTCACTTTTCTAAAAATTTGTATTTTCATTCTTTTTTTTTTTTTTTTTGAGACAGCATCTCGCTCTGTCGCCCAAGCTGGAGTGCAGTGGCTTCATCACAGCTCACTGTAATCTCAAACACCCAGGCTCAAGCGATCCTCCTACCTCAGCCTTCTGAGCAGCTAGGACCACAGATGCACACCGCCACACCCGGCTAATTTTTCTGTTTTTTGTAGAGACGGGGTCTCACTCTTGATCAGGCTGGTCTTGAGCTCCTGACCTCAAGCAATCCTCCCGTCTCAGCCTCCCAAAGTGCTGTGATTATAAGCATGAACCTCTGCGCCCAGCCTGTATTATTTTTCTTAACCTCATGACACTGTACTTTCTTAAAAGAAACTGTCACCATTAATTTTAGCAACATATCAAAAGTTCAGTTTCCTACTTTTAAAGGTATCAAACTACTAACTCTGAACCTTTCATATGCAATGTCTGACAACCTTGAATTACTCCAAGATTACAAGGCAGTTCTTTCGCACATCTAGCACTCATAATATTTCTAAAGATCAGTTTGACTAATTCTTCCCTTATTACTACCCTCTTTCTCAAATACTTTTCATCTGTGCTTTGGGTTTTTCTCATCTGCCCTGCAAAAACTACCCTTCTGGGAAAGGCCTAAAACTCATTCATACTAAAAGGGCAAAGGACTGCTATCAGCTAAATGTGAAAGCCTGGAGTGGGAACCCTGTCCCTAGTTTCTGTGCCAGATCTGGAGGTGTAATCTCCCCAAATCTCTGTTTCCACATGTATAAAATGAAACAAGTTGGGACTACGGATTCCTGAAATCCATTCCAGCTCAGGTCTTCTCCCTTAGATATGTTTGCAGCCTTATGTATCATTCACTCATTCAGTTTTATGCAGCACTTGAGATAGGTAATCAAATACAGAGGCTCTTTGATTTATAATACGGTCGCCTTCCGATAAATCCATCATAAATTGATTGAAAATATCCTAAGTTGAAAGTGAGTTTTTTTGTTTGTTTTTAGGACAGGGTCTAGCTCTGTCTCCTGGGCTAGAGTGTAGTGGCTTCCTCATAGCTCACTGCAACCTCAAGCTCTTGGGCTCAAGCAATCCCCCCACCTCAGCCTCCCAAGCAGCTAGGACTACAGGCACATGCCAGCACACCTGGCTAATTTTTCTATTTGTTTGTTTGTTTGTTTGTTTTGAGACAGAGTCCCGCTCTGTTGCCTGAGTTAGAGTGCCGTGGTGTCAGCCTAGCTCACAGCAACCTCAAACTCCTGGGTTCAAGTGATCCTCCTGCCTCAGCCTCCCAAGGAGCTGGGACTACAGGTGCACACCACTATGCCCAGCTAAGTTTTTCTATTTTTAGTAGAGACAGGGGTCCCACTCTTGAGGATCTCAAGAGATCCTCCTGCTTCAGCCTCCTAGAGTGCTAGGATCACCAGCATGGGCCATTGCGCCTGGCCTGAAAGTGTGTTTTTAAAATATTTTTGACTTTTGAGGGTTTTGTTGGGAAGTAGTACCATCATAGGTCCAGGAGCACAGCGAGTGCCTTTCATATTGGTACCATCTTAAAGTAAAAAAAAAAAAAAAAATCATAAGTCAAAATATTGTTAAGTTGGGAACTGTACTGTAATTTCAATACTTAGTCATTAAACAAATATTGATTGGACGCTTACTCTGTGCCAAGCACTGTATTAGGTGCTTGAAATATCAGCGTTTGTACTAAATGATATGGAAGAAATGAGGGAAGACAACTAACTAAGGGAGTTTAAAGAAGAGACCAAAGAGGCAATTCTTAAGCTGTCTCTTGCATACGGTAGAAATTCCCCAAGGTTGGGCAGAAGTAGTAAACCCTTTTTAGGGGATACGTCGTGTCCAAAGACAGACGTAAAAGGTAAAGCTTAGTATTTTCAGCAGCCGGCTGGCTAACACGGGCCGTGCGGGGGATACGTCTTCGCAGCACTTAGCCCAATTGTAATTTGGCATGTTCTGTGTGATTCCCAGAGCCTAACACGCTGCCTGACACTGAAGTGTGGCGCTTAATCAATGCTTAAGAGTAAACGAATAAAGGGTCACCTCTGAGAGTTAAAACGTCATTTCCCAGACACCTTAAAGAACGAGCCTCTTCGCGGTGCCTTTTCCCTTCTAAATAGGATCGATCTGAGCAACCCGCCTGAGCCTGTCCGGACGAGTCAAACCCTAGTGCGGGGCTCTGTCCTCACACCATCACTCCTCAGGGCCACCTAGGATTTACAAATCCCCGCGGAATGGGCCACTGAGCCCTGCCGACAGGGAGAAGAAAATGGGGATGAGCTCTCGCCCGGAAGCCTGAAGTCGGATTCTGGAGTCCAGCGGGGTCGCCGCCGCAGCCTCATTCAGGCTGTGGTACCAGAAATACGGCATTTGGAAGTTGCTGAGGAAAAAAGAGAGAAAAACAATCTGATCAACTTCCGTCAGACTAATACAAACTCAGTTCCTTCAACAGGAAAACGAAATCCGCCAGCACTCGGCTCCTGGTCGCCAGCGCCCGGTACAAGCGCAGCAGAGCTCACCCGACCGCCCGGGGACTTCTCCTGGGCGTAGAGGCGCAGCGTCCTCTACTGGTCCCCCCGATCTCGCCTGCCAGCGCCGTCAGGATTTCGTCCCCCAGCCACGCCCAGGCTCGCGAGAGTGAGTGCAGCGGTCTCAGCAAACGGTGCTGCGGAACGGAACTTTCGTAACCTGTGGTTCCCGCACGGAAGGATTTTAAGTCAACGAAATCGACGGGCGTTAAATGGCACAGGGAAAAGGAAGGCGATAACGTGACTACGCCTAAGGCAGTAAGCGGAAGTCCGGGTTCGTACGCCGCGCGGAGAGCATCCTGGGGCCGGAAGGAGGTGGACACTCCTGTCGCAGATCCAGGCGGCTCGTGTGGTAAGCGGGCGCGTGGCTGCCTAGGACGGCGTTTTGCTGGGGCGCGTTGTTCGTGCGCCGAGGTCAGAAGTGGCCGAAATTCCGGTGTCGCTGTAGAACCTGAGAGCGCGTGTCAGCCATGGTGGGGAGATCCCGGCGGCGCGGAGCAGCCAAGTGGGCAGCTGTGCGAGCCAACGCAGGTCGCAACCCTGCTGACGAAAATGAAGATGATCTAGGATTGCCACCCTCACCTGGGGACTCCAGCTACTACCAAGATCAGGTAGATGACTTTCATGAGGCACGATCCCGGGCAGTCTTGGCTAAGGGCTGGAACGAAGTAGAGAGTGGAGACGAGGAGGATGGCGTTGAGGAGGAGGAGGTGCTAGCCCTAGATATAGACGATGAGGACGACGAAGATGGAGAGAGTGCGGGGGATGAGGAAGATGGTGATGACGATGATGATGGTGGGAGCTCCGTGCAAAGTGAGGCCGAGGCCTTTCTGGATCCCACTTTGTCCTGGGGACAGAGGAAAAAACTTTACTATGATACTGACTATGGTTCCAAGTCCCGAGGCCGGCAGAGCCAACAAGAAGTAGAGGAGGAGGAAAGAGAAGAGGAAGAGGAAGCACAGGTCATTCAGCGGCGCCTAGCCCAGGCCCTGCAAGAGGATGATTTTGGGGTTGAGTGGGTGGAGGCATTTGCAAAACCTGTGCCTCAGGTAGATGAGGCTGAGACACGGGTCGTAAAGGATTTGGCTAAAGTTTCAGTGAAAGAGAAGCTGAAAATGTTGCGAAAGGAATCACCAGAGCTCTTGGAGCTGATAGAAGATCTTAAAGTCAAGTTGACAGAGGTGAAGGATGAACTGGAGCCACTGTTACAGTTGGTGGAGCAAGGGATCATTCCACCCGGCAAAGGAAGCCAATACTTGAGGACCAAGTACAACCTCTACTTGAATTACTGCTCCAACATCAGTTTTTATTTGATCCTGAAAGCTAGGAGAGCCCCCGCACATGGACATCCTGTTATAGAAAGGCTTGTTACCTACCGAAATTTGATTAACAAGCTGTCGATTGTGGATCAGAAGCTGTCCTCAGAAATTCATCATCTACTCACACTTAAGGATGGTGCTGTAAAGAAAGGACTGAATCCAAAGGCAAAATCCACCAAGGCCAAACCAAAGTCTGTTTCAAATACTTCCACTGCTGCCTCTGCTGTTACAGATCTTTCTGATGATTCCGATTTTGATGAAAGAGCTCAACTGAAATACTATAAGGAAATAGAAGACAAGCAAAAGTTGAAGAGGAAGAAAGAAGAAAATAGCACTGAAGAACAGGCTCTTGAAGATCAAAATGCAAAGAGAGCCATTACCTATCAGATTGCTAAAAACAGGGGACTTACTCCTAGGAGAAAGAAGATTGATCGCAATCCCAGAGTGAAACACAGGGAGAAGTTCAGAAGAGCCAAAATTCGAAGAAGAGGCCAGGTTCGAGAAGTTCGTAGGGAAGAGCAACGTTATAGTGGTGAATTATCTGGCATTCGTGCAGGAGTTAAAAAGAGCATTAAGCTTAAATGAAGTTTTTGCTTAAGGTTTTTGGCAATAATTTTAGATCAATAAATTTTTATTTTTAACTGAAGTGATTGTAGTATTATATAATACCTAACCTTAAATTTTAAGAATTCTTTTCAACAGGGATATTTTTTTGAGGTATTGCTCAATTTATTTGTCCTTTATGTTACGGTCATACTGAGAACTGTGGGAGCAATGTGAAGGTGTTTGAGAAAAGGGATAGTGTTGAAAAAAGTTCTCCAATAGTCTGTCAAGTAGTAGCCTAGGAAAAACTTCACAGCTAGTTGTGGAGCGTTTATCAAACTTAGAACACTTACAACTTCACAAAAAGACTGCACTTTTAACAGTCTTCTTATTTGTAAGATAGCCTATAAAATAGTTATGACGCATTTCATTTACCTAACTTAACTTGGGCAAGATACTTGTTTATAAAGGGGTTGTATGTTAACGTGGATTTCATACATTCCATGTGGTTTAAAAGCTTAGGAATGAAGAGGAACTTTGTTAAAAGTAGAAAAAGGAAAAGACATGCTGTAATTATATCAAATGTAAATATTTTCTAATAGTTCATGTGGTAAATAAGGTAAGAATTCCATTTTCCCTTCTGCACTGGTGACTTGCAGTGGTTGCTGTTTGTACTCCATTTGCTAAAAATTTGGTCTGATTACTACTAGGTAAGTGGCAACTTCAAATGGTAACAAAATTACATTTTTTTTTTTTTTTTTTTTACAGTTACTCTGGTCTGTATTGTAAGGGGAAGATGTTAAAAATACTTAGGATGATGTCAGGGAAGAAAATGAAAGGATTAGTGAAGGAAACCACAAAAAAAGTCTTAATTGTATCACTGTTTATTCATTAAACATTGTGCTAGCTGCTAAAGATGCAGAGATGATGAGTGGTTAACATTTTAAAACACTTGCCATGTGTCAGTTGTGCATCATTTAATCCTTAATAACTTTGTGAGATGATACTGTTCTCTCACAGGTGAGGATGCTGAAATTCTGGGAGACTGACTTTGTAAAGGACAATGGTTTTGATTTGAACCCAAACCAACTTAATTTGAACATTCATCGTCTTAACCTCTGGCTTACAGCTGCTTCCTCTGAGTAGCACATATGACAAATAATTTTCTGATAAATGAAAGAGGTAGGCTGGAAATAAAAGTAACACTAAGTGCTTACTGAGGCATTTTTCTGAGCACTTTATTTGTACTTAATTCCTTTATTCCTCATAACAACCCTATGTGGTAAATTCTATTATCCACATTTTGAAGATAATGAAACTGCAGCAAAGAGAAGTAACTTCGTCAAGGTCATATCGTTATTAAGTGGCAGAGCCAGGATTTCAGCTCAGCCTTTCTGGCTTCAGAACCCAATCCTATACTTCTTTTCTGATACAGTAGAAAAAGTACAGATTTGGGGGTTAATTTATGAGGGCATTTTGAGTTAATCTCTGAGTTTCATTTTCTTCATCTTTATGATTCTATTATGCTCTTGGACAAGCCATATAACAGTGGTTAAGAGCAGACTAGTTAGATTACTGGGTTCCTAACCCAGCTCCATCACTTAGAACCTGTGTCTTCCGGCAAGTTACCTGATTTCTCTATTCCTCAGTTTTTAAATCTAAAACAGGAATAATAGTAATGCCTACTTCATAGGGTTATTATAATGAGGATTAAGTGAATTAACATACGTAAAGCACTTAAAGTAGTACCTATTATACGTTAATCATCTAGTAAGTGTTGGCTTATGAGAGAAATGTTAAGGAAGAAAGGCTAGCATTGGGTGAGCACATGAAAGAGCTATAGAAAATCTAGGACAGGGCAAAAAAATGAGGATATATAAAGTTAGAGGTTGAAAGTATTTGGTATTCAACCAGGTGCAGTAGCATATGCCTGCAGTCTCAGCTATTTGGAAGGCTGAGGCCGGAGGATTGCTTGAGCCCAGGAAGTTCAAGGCCAGCCCCAGCAACGTAGTGAGACCAGTCCTTAAAAAATAAATTTAAAAATTTTAAAAGAAGATATTCTAGTTCTATATCAAATCCCTGCCATACACACACACACACATATATACACGGAGAATTTTGGGGAGAAAAAATATATTTTGAAGGAAGAAAAATTTCATTTAGGAAAGTAGAAAAAATTAAGCCTTTTATATATTCCTCCAAATACATTCCTTCAGAGACTTCACAACACTTTACAAATATTAATTCATTTTGGGATGGCTAGGCTGTAGATGGTACTATCTTGTATTATAAAACATGGCCTTGTCTAATGTGAGTTAATAGCAAAAGAAGTTGCTGGATTTGATATTTACGTCTTTCAAAACCTTTATTTATTTAAAGAGTGCTGAGATGTGCTGGGTTCTGTCCTAACAAGTTGTAAACCAGTGTGATGATCGTTTTTTCACGGAGACTCATCTGTGAACTCTGGAGAGCTTCGTGGATAAGAGTTCGATAAAGTAGGTTACTGAAGTAGGTATCGAGCATCAATAGAAAGCAACAACAACCTGTTAGTTTTATGGCAACATATTAAACTATGGGCAGCTATGGGAAATATAAAATGTTAAAAACTGAAGTAGAAAAAACATCAAATTAGTTATCCAGTAACTTAAACTCTGCCACTAACCAGCTGACTAGCTTTGGGCTAGTCAATTTCTCTAAGCCATAGTTTATCTATATTCTCATCTGTAAAGAGTTGGGGGTAAACATACCACTTTAATTTTTGTGTAGAAATAAGTTTGTTTATCAGACTTCTAAAAATTACCTCATGGCTTTTGGCAAACTGGAAAATTTCTGTAATCTTAAAGATAAAAACTAGCTTAAATAACTTCAATAATTGTTTTCAGATGTGTCACAAAATATTTGATATGTCTGAAGGATGGCTGCAGTTGCTTATTTTTCCTTGCTGGTTCTATGAAATAAAAGAATTTTAAGTTAATACGTTAAAGTATATAAGTTACATTACCAGAATAATACAGGAAAGGTGAAACTTATTATACATCTCAGTGATCACAGTGATGTACTTATATCACTGTGTGAATAGTAGATGATACAAAAAAAGTCATGTAGTATTATACTAGAATTTTTTTTTCTTTTGAGACAGGGTCTTGCTCTGTTTTCTGGGCTTGAGTACAGTGGCATCATCATAGAGCTCACAGCAACCTCAAACTCCTGGGCTTCAACAATTCTCCTCTCTCAGCCTCCTAAGTAGCTGGGACTACAGGCACGCGCCACCATGCCCGGCTATTTTTTTCTATATATATTTTTTTTAGCTGTCCAATTAATTTCTTTCTATTTTTGGTAGAGACGGGGTCTCGCTCTTGCTCAGGCTGGTCTTGAACTCCTGAGCTCACACGATCCGCCCGCCTCGGCCTCCCAGAGTGCTAGGATTATAGGCAGGAGCCACGGCGCCCGGCCTGTTATAGCCTTTAAATAGTTAATCCATGTAACATATATTTAGAAGAGCACCTACCAGGTAGTAAGTGCTTAGTGTTAGTTATTAATCCATCAAAAAAAAAAAACCTGATTTATTCCACTTGAATGAGTTAATTTTCTCCTTGGTTCTACCACAATAGTTCTTAAATCAGAATGCCTGAGGATCAGTTGGTAAGTTTAAAATGTGGATTCCTAGCTGGTCCCAGCAGTGGTGTTTACAACTAATTGATCACCACCAGTTACAGATTCGTTTGTTCCTTCTCCACTCTCACTGCTTCACTTGACCAGCCTGTGCCCTATCTCCACAGATTCTGATTCAGCTGGCCTGGTATGGGGCACAGGGATCTATGTCTCTTTAATAAGCACACCACGTGATTTGGATCCATATGGTCTACAGAACGCATTTTGGGAAACACTGCTCTGGGCACACTGATTGTTAGGTTTCTTTCAGCTAATAATATTAGGCATATGAATGAAATTAATTGCAATAATAAAATATGATGTAGTATTACCATAGGACTACAAAATCTTGAGGGCAGCCCTCTAAAATAGCCCTTGAGAATTTGTTGGAAGCAGTGAGCCTTCCCCCCAGAACCATAGCATACTCCTAATCGCTACATTTTATATACCACGTCAATGGCTTCCTGGACTCCCTGAAGCCAGGAGCCCGTGGGTGAACCTCAGCTAGAAAACCTTATAGGGGAATGTACTTTTTACCCTTAAGCATAGCTTTAATATGGCCTGTTTTAATATATATACTAAAAGATCATTTTACCATGGGTGGGGGAGGGGATTATTTGAATTATATACATAACAATTTTATTAGCACCTAGAATTTTTCTACATTTATTAAATGACTTCTTTTAGACATACTTGCATTTTTATTCACACCACACTTGAACATTCATAAAAAGGGAAGTATAAAATACAAGCCAAATAAAAGTTATTCCTAAACTTGATATTCAGTCTAACTTTTCTGAATCACTTCCATTCAGGGGCCCCAATGGCCATAGACAGGATCAAAGATTTTTGATAAGATCTTAAAAAGAATGTGAAAGGGGCCAAGAACTACTTAGAGAAATAAATCTTTCATGCTCTGTAAAAAGGAGAAACTTAAAGATGTCAACTTTGAGAGTAGCCATGGACCCATTAAAATTAAAGCAATTAACTGCTTAAATAAGATGCCATGGAACCTCAAAAATGGCATGTATTTCTCTAGGGAAAGCAGAAAAGTGTCACAGATCTGTTTCAGTAGAATTTAAGGGAAGATGGGTTTGGCAATATGAGTTATGCCAAACATGTTAAAGCTTAGCCACAGGCAACGGGTGAGGCAAGTTAGGAAGATAATCTTTGAAAGGTAGGGAGGGGGTAGATCATGAAAGGCCTTACTAGGTAGTTAAGGCACTTAGATTGTATCCCAGATATGGAGAATCCAACCAAGGTTTTTTTAAGAAAGTGTGACATGATTAGGTCAACCTTCAGAAAAGTAAATTACTCATTCTAACTGCTATAGAGCAGAGGAACTGAAATGGATTAAAACTAGAGGCAGGGAAGCCAGGCTCGGTGGCACACACCTTTAGTCCCAGCTACTTGGTAGGCAGAGGCCAGAGGATCACTTGAGACTGGGAG